TTACAGTGCTTGCGATTTTTCACAATATCATGACTTGATAATATGATTTGGAAAAAGAAACACTTTTTAGTCTACAGTTCGTCGCGCCCCTACCTTTAAAGGATTTTATAGCAATAAATCAACTTTCTCCCTTGCCGCAAAATATCATATTGTAACAGTCAATTACCATTACAGCGGTCTGTTGGCTCGATGCCAAAAGCAGAAATTTTGTTGATTTGAGGTATAAAAAACAATGTATGCGCTTGTTACTTTCTAAAATCTGGCCCACTCCTAAATCAGAAATCTGAAAGAACTTTAATTATATATTGAACTATGGCAAAGGTCTAGGAGAACCTTCTTCTATAAATTTTCTCATAAAGAATTAAAAATCAAAATCAATTTTATGAAACTTACGCTGCTCCTCCTATGCATCCCGGATTGCACATAGCGCCAGGTGGTGCTACAGGTGCTGAAAAGTGGTTATTAAGAACCTTTGATGGAGTCAAGAGGGCCATAGTTCCTTACCGTATTGTGCAGCAGCCATGGCAAGAAGAGAGGAGGCGATGATCAGCGACATGTTAAAGATGGCGGAATTCCGGAGTGCAGTCAGCTACCGGCCTTTATACTCCGTCCAAAGCGATTCCGCACCTCCGGACGCCACTCCTTCGTTGCGCGGAACCCCGTGCGTAAATGCTTGAAACATACACAAACAAAGAATGCCAAATATAGATGTAGAGATTCCGCGAGAGCTGAAATGCCAAGAAAGAAGAAAGTTTTTCTTCTTCGAGGAATATTCAGTTTCGATAGGTTTGACAGTTTAATTGATAGGTGCACTGTTTCTTGACATGGTTTTGTTTGATGTTCGTCCACTCAAAAAGCAAACATTCCAGAGGCCGCTAAATGACCGCCAAGCAAACAATGTTCAAACACAGAAAATCTTATGTTTTACATAGAGTTGATAATCAAAAAAAAAATGATTCCAAGCGTCAAACTAAAGTTACCTTTCTGTTACTTCAGCCCTTCTCAAGAAATTTA